TATATATATATAAAGACCACTCAAAATGTAAAATTCTTAAGAACTCTCACATTTTAAAGACAAAATTATTAAAAAATCTATAATTCAAAACACAGTTTTTATGTACAAAAAATAAAATTACCAAGGAGATATCTTGAGCCTAATTTGTACAGTTTACGAAACTGATGGTAAACATAGAGTACAGCTGTACAGCGGGTTATTGTCATGATAACAATATCCATTCCTTTGTTGCCTCCCTGAAATATCAAAAGGCAACATATAAGTTTCATGTGTGTCAATTTAGAGATTAGGAGAAATTACATCCTATTTAAAATCATTCCATTAACTAAATTGGAGAAGGAATTTTGACTATAATTCAAACTTTACTATGCATATCTATACAAAATGTGGAAAACTTTTAGTCAAATATACAAGTCTTTTGTATACACATGACAAATCAGCTGTATTACTTAAGTATTTGTAATCAAGATAAGTCTGTGAATTAATGACATCAGTCTGGCTGAGACTCTGACAAGTCAGAGTACAAGGTGATGTTCATGTGAAGAATAAAAACACTTGTTCATTAAACAGTTTGCACATTGTACTTGCATAACCTCTAATACCTTAGGGATGCATATCTACTGTGTTTTTTCAATATCCTTATATAGTGTAGCTGGTATTTATTCTCTTCTACCACAAATTATTGCTACGATTGGAACATAGGTAGGATAAAATGAATAGTTGATAACTAACATAAAAAAAAACTTTCCAAAAAGGATATAAATGTAGGGATGGCATTTGCATCATCTCTATATAATAGCACAGGCACAGTGTAGTAGAATGTTAACAGGGAAAAATTGGACAAATGACTCAATTCTGATTGAATCTAACCTATATAAAAGCCAGTGTGTGTTACATTACACTTGATTTCTCTTGGTTTCTCAAAATAGGAGGAGTCAGAAAAGCCAAAATGGATTTGTCCAAATAGAATAGTCTGATTACTGTCTGCCCATTACGATTTTAATGACAGGGTGCAAAAGGACCATGAAACCTTATAAGTGTAGTGAATGTTGGTATAAGCCTAAAGTAAAGACATAGTGTGAGATCACCTAGCCTAGAGCCAAGTGCATAACATTTATCATGAAAGTAAAAATAGATTCAATTTTAAATTGTATAACAGGAAATAGCTTAAGCTTCATTCAGAAAGGATTTAAATCTTTTTTGCATTGTTTTGAAGGAATGATATTAGCCATCCCTACATTTATTTCCATTTTTGAAAAATTTTTTCTTTACTTGTTTTTTTAATGCAGTGTTTCAATAGATATAGGAAGATTGTATTTATAACCAAGTTCTAAATGCAATGAGATTCCAACTGTAATACGTTTTGTTTGTCTGTTATTGGCTGGTAATCCCCATTTCCCTGTCTTTTTAAAGGAACACCAAATTTCTGTAAGAAAGCTAACTTCAAGGGGGTTATGATAACATCATTTACATGAGAATTAGGATTTTTTAAAAATTACTAGTAGTTATTAATAATACTTATAAAAGCGAATACTCCATTTGAAACTATGCCACCTCAGTAAAACTGGTTAACACCATTGTTTTGTTTTTTGAGTTATCACATAATAAAAAGCAGCTGAAGAAAGAAGAACAAGATATTGAAACTTTTTGCTATGATATATACAGATATTACCAAAACTTGACTCAGTCACTACTCAGATATTTTTATAAAAGGATATACTGTATAGTATTGTAAAGTTCTGATGGTCTATTGAGAAGATATTTAAAATAGCATTTCGATGAACAATCTGAGCCATCCCTACATAGGCAGTGAGTGCTATCGGCTGCCTGATACATAATACCATGTCGAATGGTACTCAGTAAGAGTCTGTGACATGCACACTTTGACTCCCCCCACATGTGCACATAAAGTGTATACAAAAATGTGAAACATATCTAGCCATGTTTGCTTGCACATATCAACTTTAATATGAAACACAATCTGTAAAAAAAGTAGTTAAGTTACGTGAACAATATTCTTAATATTACACTCATCTTTAATATGAAACAATCTGTAAAAAAGGTAGTTAAGTTACGTGAACAATATTCTTAATATTACACTCACCTTTAATATGAAACAATCTGTAAAAAAAGGTAGTTAAGTTACATTAACAATATTCTTAATAATACATTCAACTTCAATATGAAACACAATCTGTAAAAAAGGTAGTTAAGTTACATTAACAATATTCTTAATATTACACTCATCTCATTTTGTTACCAGAGATAATTAATTCTGGTCTTTTTTATGTATTCTGACATCATCTCATTCTATTTACACACTGAGCAATTTGTCTTACACTTTCACTGGTATATTTTTTACTCGACTGCAAAATAGCCAAAAACTGATTATTGATTATATTTAAATGTGTTGTCTATAACCAAACATGAGTAGCAAGGGCTGGTTATAGTTAGGAGCTGGAAGGGACATCCTTGATGTGCGAATAAGCTCCTTTTTGTCTCTTTAAAATTTTATGAAACTTGTGTTAAAACAAAAATGTTACAAACATTCCCACACAGTAATAAAAAAAATAAAAGGTCTGTATCAACCAGTTACGGATATCGAATCTACACTTTCTGAACACTTAGAAATTGTGGAATCAAACTCCAAAGTATATGGTTTTATTTAGGGGTATTAAGATATTATTCATAATTTTCATTGAATTCAATCAATCTTGTGTTATGGACATTAAATGTAATTACCATTTTGACTGAGTGCCATCTTTATCCCGGATTTCACGAAGATTACCACTCAATGTTTGTGTAATTACTCCCTATGCTAATTATTTCAGATAATCTAACAAACTTTGAAACTGTGAATTTTATTGCATTACTATTGATATTGACTCAAAGGTAATATATGTAGATTGTGTCTAACAATGTTTTTCAGGTAGAATGCACTAGAACTTAATATATATATGTAGATTGTGTCTAACAATGTTTTCAGGTAGAATGCACTAACTTAATATATATATATGTAGATTGTGTCTAACAATGTTTTCAGGTATAATGCACTGTAACTTAATATATATGTAGATTGTGTCTAACAATGTTTTCAGGTAGAATGCACTAACTTAATATACATGTAGATTGTGTCTAACGATGTTTTCAGGTAGAATGCACTGTAACTTAATATAGTCTCTCCTTAGAATCCTACATTTTTTGAGTATTACATAATGTATTTCTTTTACTAGATAACACAAACTGTACCTAAAAACATAGATAAATAATACATGGGTTGTATAAAGTACTTAGGGTTTATTGCACATTACATTCAAAGTTTCAGATGCACCTCTTAGTTGTAAAATAGAAATTGAAAAGATAAATAGAGAGTTTAGTCTTACCTCATTGTGGTGGCACTGATAGTTCCAACCACACTTATTGTTGGGGTCAACAAGTTTAGGACCCATGGAGAGCATACATGCTGTGAGGGTAAGGAAGGCAACTATCACCTCCCATGGATGGGAGGCACAGAAGTGACCATGGTTGTAGAAAGCCTGTGATAGCATAGTCAGGGGTTGAGTCTGAGAACTGAAAAACACAGATTAATCTATTTTAAATCATAACAAAGTAAGTGAGTATTTTTTTGAAGAACATTCAGCAATTACATGATGCTTTTAAATAAAAAAAAAGTCAAAGTTGGTGACTAGCATAATCAAGGGAGAGGTTTGGAGAATGCTTTTTAAGATGTAACAAATGTTTCCATACAGTATATTTTTGGTCATAGAATAAAGTAATTACTTTGTACACAAACCTAAAGTAAGCAGAGGTTAAAATTATTCCTTAAAAATATCACATACAAAACATATGACAAAAAACTAAAACCCACTATATAATTGTACAATTCTTTTATACTTCAGCCTCAAGAAGAAACCTCTCAGTGAAGTTCAGTTTGACCATATCAATATCTATGGGGCTCAATTTATTTGAATTTCCAATCAAACAACATTCTATCTCATTCCAAGAGATCTGTCGAACATTCCTAATGTAATATCTATGTCTAACTCAACACTGACATGTCAACTCCTTTCAGACAAATCACTGGAATTAAAATTTTATGAAACCATTTCAGAATGACATAACAAAGAACCTGTTACATATTTAATGCTTACTACTAAAATATTTGCCAAGAAGAATCCAAAAGTAACTGATTACCAGAGTTTATTCAAAAGGATCACATAGGATCTAATATGGGATTTTCAGAGATCTTCATACATTTCAAATAGATTGTGGTGTATTAAATGTTCTAAGAACTTTTGTTGAGTATAGTTTAGAGATAGACCTGGTTCAATATACATATGACACATGGTCCTTCAGATTATGGTGTAAAACCAACAAGTTGACTGAAAACATGTTCTTATGAGTACCTGTGTCTTGAGTGAACTAATTAAGATCACTATTTATATCTATTTATACTGTGCTTCTAGAGTGTGAAGATTATAAGCACATTTCCTGTCTGAAGTGTTTCTGGATTGACAGTGTACAAAACCTGCATTAAAATTATATTTAATTTTAAGTCAACAGAATTTTCAATGTTTATGTACAATGAAATCAAAAGAATTAAGAAATGCAGTACTTTCATCATCAAATATGTCCTTCTTACTGATGTTGAAATACATCACTAAAGCATTTTTTTTATATTTTTTTTACTGTATGTTATTACAAACTGCAAGAACTGTCTGCCACTAGGTCATATAGTTAGTGTTGTGTATTTTGAATCTTGTAGTTCTAATTCAAAGATCATTTAAAACTCTTATACTGTGTGGAATAAAGTGATGTGTTTTTATCATCTGTGTATTATATTTCTTAAAATAAATATCCTATTCTCCAAACGTTGATGTGTTATCCCTAACCTACAAATGTTTTAGACGGATCTGCTTCGAGGCCTTCAAGTAGGGAAAACCCGCTTATAGCAGGTGTACTAAACCTCGGGTAAATACAGGTCGAGGTGAACGAACGATGCCAACGAACTGAAGTAACACGTAATACATGAACCAAGAAAGACGAGTGTTTAGTCAAGTGGCTTAAAATTAGTTACTTCGTCTGCTAAAAAGACCTCATGATAGTTCCAGGCTATATTGAATAACCAACGTCCAAAACTCATAAACAAGAACAGAAATTATTCAACGTCCACTGTTAATAGTGTGTTGTTAAGAAAAGAAGATCGGACCCATCGCGTTAGATAATTCGTGTACCGCCGCGCTTTCTGTCACGAGCATCGTACTCGTACAAGAGAAGCTTTACCAGGAAGTGCACGGTGTCTACACCCCTTGTAAAATGTGATGTACGCATTATTTCACGGCACGATTATAGAGATTTTTACTCCCATAGCTGTCATGACGCAAGCTTACATATTAAGTAGCACATATAGAAGCATGGTTGAAGAATATCCTAAGAAATCGAATTTCCGTTTTACAATGATAATATCACGTAACCTTTAACATTTCTAAATTCCGGAGGCCATTAGCTCCAGGGCTTTGTTTGCAAGCGTTTGTTACGAAAACATCTTAAGGTCAAACTGAAGGGCAGTGATAACATTTCCTACGATGAACAACACTAACTTATAAGGTCACTAGCCTCACCGTCGAGATTGTGTTGTATAGTAAACCGTCCGGTGAACACGGTAGTATATACTGTTAAAAAGGTGTTGAATGTTATCAAAATTTTACTTCACAACGCAAACTGCGTTCCCGAAAAACACTTTCGTGAACTATAAAACAAGAGAATGTTGTAGCGATAAAAACGCCCATGTATTCTGTGTTTTCTAACAATACAAATGAGGCGCGATTATAAATTCACAATTGTGCGTGTATTTAAATATATTGTTCTGTTGTGAGGCCACCGTTTTTTAGGAGTTCCAGTACCTTTCAGTCGCAGCGTATTGCGGAAACGATTTGTTTTTCGCGCAAAGCTCCTCGAGGGTTACTTGCGCTATCCGTCCCTAAGTGATAGACAAGATGGAAGGTAGATAGTCAACACCACACACCGCCAACGCTTGAGCTACCTTTTACCAAAGGGCTAGTATGTTCGGTGACGGGATTGAAACTCGCGACCGACCAGCAAATCCGGGTCGAGAGTGTCCTAACCACTATGGTCATGCCAAGCTGGCGGAAACGAATCGTTTTGCATAAGAGACGATTTTCAAATATTACTGTGTATGCTGATTGTATAAAATTCAACATAAAGACTGTCTTGTGGCTATTCACACACCAGACTTTGTTGTTTTTAATATATTTTTTCTTTACAGAGCAAAACTTAGCTGCCCACCTTTTTTTATTACCTATGGTAATAAAAAACAATTAGCACTAGCGAAAAACTCGTGCTTCACGTACGAAACTTTACCGGTTTTGGTATTTGAATGTACAAAGTTTATAAAGTACAAAGGCAGTGACGTGTATTTAAAGTAATTAAAACAGTTAAATGACCTGCCTAGACTTCTCACGTATGAGGTTAGGTGCGGGACGTCTAAATGACTACGAGGTTAAACCTATTTCACAACATGTGATACTAACCAAATACTTCAAGTATAAAAAACAACAACAGAAAACAAAAAACTTTGGGCTGAATGGCGTGATCTAAAATGACAAACCTATCGATTTATCTAATAAGAGAAATCAGATCTATCGGCGCTTTCAAAACCTGGGTATCGAGGCAAATGTTAAAACTCAACATGGTGTCTATAAACAAATTCACACAGAAAACCTTAACATATAAACACTTCTTTTAGAGATGGGCTCTGAGGGATGACGAATCCATTTCCCAAATACTTTTTCCTTTGCAATGTACAGTACTATTTACAACCACCCATTTCTTACGCATATGATGACGTCATCTATAATTCCCTATTCCTAACTTCATTTTTGTATAGTTTAAAAAGCTTCCCAAACATACACACACTGTATTCTTCTAATTATATAGATACTACCTTGTGGTAATTAATTTATCAGCAACATCGGAGAGATGGACCAATCAGCACGTTTTTTGGCAATAACCGCTTCATTTAAAACTTAACGATCACAGTAGCATGTGAAAACTAGGACATGTTAATTTTACTTTACAAACAAATTATCACGATTCTTCATCCTTGATCATTTTCTTTAAACATTTAAGTAAAGTCAATCAACACGGTGAATATGAAGAAGTGAAAGGCAAGGACAGCGGCTATTGAAGATCATCTCGTGTTTTAGTGCACAGCTACACAATAGGCTATCTACGCTGTGTCAACCGCGGAGAATAAGAGCCACTGACATGAGCATTGAAAATCCGGAACTTACCGCTAACTCTCCAAGGAACGCTAATACTTAGTATTAGCGCTAAACCACACAATGGGCGTACTGTCAATCGCGAGGAGTATCGAAACCCCGATTTTAGCGCTGTAAGTTCATTAACTCACCACTGGGGATAAGCGAGTGAGAAAAGTATCTGGATGTTCATAAGTTCACATATATATATATAATATAAAATATGACTGGTAATAAACATAAGTTCATATATATGATATAAAATATGACTGGTAATAAACATAAGTTCATATATATGATATAAAATATGATTGGTAATAAACATAAGTTCATATATATGATATAAAATATGACTGGTAATAAACATAAGTTCATATATATGATATAAAATATGACTGGTAATAAACATAAGTTTATATATATAAGATAAAATATAAATTAGATTAGTTTGGGGCATACGACTTCACAACTTTTTTTCAATGACCATCGTTTCTGAAAACTGTGGGTAAAACGTGAAATAAAAAAAAAAATATCTACTACACAGGGGAAACATCCCACACTACACAGACAAATATTAAACTATTAAGTTTGATGTATATTTATTCTAAATACGTTCGACAAAAATTAAACCATGGTAACATTTGAACAATTCTAAACACAACCCATATCTTACAAAAAGTACAGGTTCTAAGAAGATTAAAGACTTTTTACGTTAAATATCGAGCAGTTGCAGTAAAAACGTATTTGATTTTAGATACCTACAAATAAAAACTAAAATGTAAAACTAAATTTGATTATCGTCACGTCTGCTTCTATCGGTACAAAAGGTAAAGTTATACACGAGTAATGCACTCACCACAAGCGGGTTTTTCTACGCGTGGTTTCGTCGGTCATAGTCACTGGGGTCGAGGCTATGTTTCATGTACAAGTTGTAATTTATTGGAAAAGGAACACCAGTATCATCCCCTCTCGCTCAAGGATCTTCGTTGAATAAATGACATCTAACTTTGCCAAAGGGTATGAGAGAAAAAATAAAAAAGCACATCGCTAAGCGCCATCTACCATTGGCTTACATTTCAACCAATCAAAGTTCTCCGAAATTGCGTCACCTAAAGCTCACCATTCATGATTATTTCATCCGTATTCTCCTGGTTAATCAGATGTCAAATCATAGACGCAGTACATATGAGAAAACTCACAAAGGCATAAGATACAAGCTAATTTAGACTTTTTTGTTTTGTTTTGGTGTCAGTAAAGAAAGCTGATGAATATTACACACACACACACAAA